GTGCGAAGGAAGACGAGGGGCTTTTAAACCAGAGGACTTGCAGGCGAGGTGGGTTTGTGGCACCCTCTGAGGTGAATGTAAAGTCACTGGCCTAACATATTTCCAGTGGTTTGTATTTCCTTTTAAATCACTTTGTCCAACCAAAAAGAGGTTTCCTTGCTATTATTAGATACAGCGTCTCAGTAGAGAGAAGCTAATGATGATCGTATGGGATTCTTCAATTTCTGAAGATGCATTTCTGAGAAGTTATAATGAGCACAGTTTTATATCTCACACCTGGCTGACTGACTCACAAAATATGTACCCTTCTATTAGAAAATCACCCCATTATACTAAACCGAAACACCTGGGAACAGAGGGGACAAGACTAGGTTAATTTCGTGGAGTGTGGGGCATTCAAGACCTCTGGTTGAACTGCTCGGCCTTTTGTTCACCCGCCCTGCCTTGTATTACGCAGGTGGCGGGGGGAAGACAGCCTTTGAGAGAGTTATGACATGCAACCGTCCCCATTGCTCGTTTTTAATGAGCTCCTTGTTTGGGGCAAAGATGGATTTAACGACAAGGGACTGGGCACCAAGAACAACTGTGCCCCCTGTTTTCCCATTGCTGTAAAAGCAAATTACACTAGAGCAGTTCAGCAGGAGTGGCGGCTGGAGACATTTCTGGACGGTGATTGAAGACCCCTCCTTGGCTCCACTTTCACTGCAAACACCCCTCGAGCCCTTGATCTCTCATTGCCTCGGGGTGAACCCACCCCTCCTGGCTCCTCTCCCGCCTCATCCCAGCGAGACCCGTGGGAGACCCCTGCGATCCCCTGACGCGCCCTCACCCTGGCCTCCCTTTCGCTTTGGTACATTCACCCCACACACCCTTCCTGGGTCATTCTTACCATCTGTCTTCTCTGCCCCTGCAAATGGTCTCCTGAGACCCGCTGAAGGAAGCGGTCTCTGAGAAAATGACCCAAAAAGCACTATTTTCTGGATGCTGTTATTGTGCTAGGAACCAAGTCTTGCCCTCTGCTTGTCACAACTAGCTCCTTGTGCTTTTGTGGGTTTTTTTCTTATTTTATTGACAAATACATTGCATCAGTCAAAGTTACCCATAGTCCCCTAATCGGAATAATCGCCATTGTCTGCTCTCCTAACTGTGGCACATACTGGTGTTTTCTTCCTACTGTCTACTTTCTATTTTTAAATATTTGTTTAGCAATCCAGCCAGGAACACATATTCATCAATGTTTTTTGGTTTTGTTCTTTGCTTTTGTTTTACTTTCAGATTGTTGCTTTTGGCAGAAAGACAAAGCTATCTTTACCCTTAAAAAGAGAGAAAGTACAATAGGGTGCATTTAGCAGGTGGTTCTAAATCCTTAGAATGTTGTTAATGCTGCCAGAAGTTCAATTTTGAGGCATTGCTGCATTTCCATACTTGTGCTTCATTCAGTGGTTTTCGCCTTTTGTCTGTGATGGGTGGTCTGGGCATAGGTCCCTCTTTCCAGAGGCATCCTGGCTCATTGCTGCCATCCTAAACTTGAACGTAGGCAGAGCATCTCCTCCCTCTGCCCTGTCTGCTGTTTTGTGTTTGTTTGTTTTGTTACAGAACTGGCTAGGACTGGGGGAGAGGGACAGGTGATGAGTTCGAGGAGGCAGACAATTCGTATCATGTAGGGTCTTACAGTTGAATTTAGGATTTTTAAAACTATGGAAAGTCATTGCAGAGTTTGGGTTTTTTTAAAACATGTTTTTATTAATTTAGAGAGAGAAACATTGCCAATAGAGAAACGTGGATCGGCTGCCTCCTGCACGCCCCCTGTGGGGGATCAAGCCCGCAACCCGGGCCTGTGCCCTGACCAGGAATGGAACCAGCAGCCTCTTGGTGCAGGGGTCCTCGCTCAGGCACTGAGCCGCACCGGCCAGGCCGGAGAGTTTTAAGCAGAATGATTAGGCCTAAAGAAGCGATTGTTGGGGGCGGGGTGGGGCAGGGAGGGGAGGGG